AATATTCCAAGCCTTCGATAGATTTTGCCCAAGGTGATAGAGAATGAAAATTTCTATTTGACAGAGCCACTTTAATTCACTTTTTTTGTTTTTTAGCTCATATTTGCGATTGCCGAAATTTACGGATGTTACGATTGATAAAAATCACATCAAATCGAAAGAGGTTTAATCTTCAAAAACCACACTAGATATCGGGAGGATACTAGTTTAAAATCTCTACATAAAAATGTTCCCTTCGAAAACAATAATTATAACAGCATGCTAATGATGCATGCAACTTTTTAATGAGGTAAAAACGCATGTTGATAATTAGATAATTTCAGTCCAAGAGCAGTGGTGAAACATACTGCTGGAATTATACACCACTTTGCATTCCTATCATTAAAGATCAAACCTGGCAAAGTTCCATTCCCCTTGAGAAATTTCCCATGAGTAGTACCAAATACACATGTAAATTTTAACCGAATTGTACTGAATCGCGGTTCAAGTTTTAACTTGTTAGTAGTGTAATAACAGTGATTAGTGTACTAAATATGAATTGTACTACATACAATGGGCAAAGCACTCTAACAACCTTCTTGCGTACTAAATCGATGACTGGTATTTCAAAATTGACATGGCGGCTGCATACTTTCTTTTACCAAAAACCGCCAAAACCATCGATGATACCGTCCATTCCACTGTCACAAGAAAAACTCTAATCACGAATATTTTGGACCAAGGCATGTTCTTGAAAAAGCAAAATCAGTTGTTACTGCCCATCTTCCGATCTATTTTAAGGTATCGTCAGGGTAAAACAGTCTTAAATATGTCTACAAATTGACATAATACGTTCTTACCAAAGTGTTTCAAATTTCTTTGAAAACCGACTCAGTCCCAATATTGCCAATTTGAACAGTATAAATATTATACTAGTAAATAAACTAATTATTTTAATTGTTATTATTTGTATAGTGATTTAATAATATTAAGTATTTACTAGTATAATATTTATTATATGTTATAATTATTATGTGTTATAATTTCCGCGTTTCGCACGTTCAAATTGAGCGCCATTAAAAAATCAGCTGCTAAGTGGAACGTCGCGTTGGCGGAGGTATCAGCGGGTTCACTTTGGCAATTCATGTCGAGAGACGTGGTTGTAGAAGTCCTTCAACCTGATGATGAGCTAAAAGGCTCGAAATCCGGATCGTTGCAAAACAACTAACTGTGAGTAGGAACTACCTTTTTCAAAAGGATTGAACACCACACTCACTCCATCATTTATCATTTCTACTGGCAAAATTCAATTGTGGGCTTGTAATTCCTAAATCTGGGCATCATTAGGTAGAGGACCAAGTTGATTTATGGAACTTTTATCGTTCTGTAAACGGTCGTGATAGTAGCAACTCTGATGAACCCATCCAGCCCGGAGGACCAATATTTAGGTTCATTTTGGGTTCTTGAAGACTTTAATTGATAAATGACTTTGAAATACGATTATTCTTTTTCCATTTCAACATCCCGTCCACCTTGGAAGGCAGAAGTCAAATGTGGGCCTGTAATTCCTAAATCAGGCAATCATTAGGTAGAGGAACAAGTTGGTTTACAGAAATTTTATCGTCGTATAATACAAGTCTGGTGATCCCGTCCAGCCCGGAGGACCAATATTTACGTTCATTTTGGGTTCTTTATGACTTTAATTGATAAATGGCTTTGAAATACGATTATTATTTTTCTTCTTCTATTCACTCAAAGGCTTTTCAATAAAAACAGCTGATGTTCCACATGTGCGGATCAAAACTGTAGGCAAAAACCTATATTTCAGATAACAAGATCGAACTTGTATCGAATTACGGTAAACATAGTTAAAATATTCTCACAAAAAACAGAAAACAAAAAGGCACTGTAAAACTAAGCGGAGTGATAGGTCTCTATATCGGTAAGTGGGATGTGGAAAAACACCTAAACAACATGAATATGTTTAATGATAAACTCCTTTTGAGGTTATGCAATGGACAGGAAGAAATCGCCACTAATGCCACTTAGGCCCACTGCTAAACTACAAAATAAACACATACAAGCGCAATGCTGCAGGTGCCTGGGAAATAGCTAATATCCACCTTATAGTCTCCTCATCATCATCGCCAGTATGCATTCAGCATAGTTAAATAAAACTAAGCTCTTTTAGTTTTTCAAGCAAATTAGCAAACCCGAACATAATGGCCATTACCAAAAACTGCCAAGACCACTGACTCTAACAATGGAATGAATCCGTTACGAATCCGAACAATTAAAAGGAAGGTTCATGAGTCAGAATGAGGGAACGCTAAACATGAAAGTTGTGTAAAATTTACTGCACTAGATTTGATTGTCCGTCGTAAAACGCCTCTTCGTACCGTCAAATGGCCCGTGAGGGCATGGCATCTAACTTTGATGAAGCCGTATCACCGGGATAATTAACGCGTTCAAAATTGCATTCTAATGAATATTCTACAAACACATATACTAAAAATCGAACCTGATGACTAAAACGTGGCTGAAAAGGATGAAAACTGATGTCATACGTTAACCAAAAATATGGGCTGAAATTTCTCGTCCTTTAATATCATTAAGGCAATTAGTACATAGAATACTCCAACTTTCTAAAACACGTTTTTATTTAATTGTCAGTGATTCGTAAAACTTCCCTTACTTTAGTCAAAAATCTACATGGTATGGGGTACATACTACCTGGCTCCATTCCGGAAAGTAAAGCATGTTTATCATTACCGGCCGGCCTAATTCGCCTACAGTGCAGAGTCGAGAGAGTGCTGAAGTAGCCCTAGAGACGGCTGAAGAGGATTCCCTGAGGATGATGTGCTCCATGGTACTAATTGCTTATTGTGCCTTCAACGGCTTGTCGAGTGGCTCGGATTCGAGTTGGCACTTCTGTGTCCCAATTAGAATAACGAACGCCCAAACAGATAACAGAATTGTTTTTATATTTCCGTTTGTTACGCACAGGCGACGGATGCCAAAATGCCACGATACACGGTTTAATATTTGAAATTGGACATGTAAGAACAGACAAAGATTAAAAAAACTAGATACACAGACAAACGAGGAAGCGTGATTTTACTGTTATTTCTTCTTCGACGTGATCTACGGTTTTCTAAGGTACATATAAAGCGGAACGCGACAGACGTTTTTGTTGCGAATCCACCCGAGGCTCAGAATGATACAATTTTTTCCTCTGTCGTACTATCTGAGCCGAATTCTGACAATCCGGCCTCCATCCTTCAGAACACTTCCAAACCTACAACCGACTTTTACACACTTGATTCAAATCAATTCAACCTGATCAAATCAAAGTCAGATAAATGGATGTATAAGATTATTTGGAAAATAATCAAGAAAAAACCCTATGACTTTAAAAAACGCCTTACCACAAGCACATTTATGACCAAAACCAAACAAAATTCCATTAATCACACACAATCTATGCTGATAAATTTTCATGATTCATGAAACTTTATTGGAAATTGGACGAGTATAACAGATGATAAACTCAAAGTATCTGACTTCCTTTGCATGTCATATCCTTTAAAAAATGAAAAGAAAGATCATACGTCGACCTCGAAAGCCAAAACTTGCAACATTTTCAAGCGCATTGTACGGAGCATAGAAATGTCCATCAGGATTATCGGACTTGGATTTGATTAAATACAGGCCCACTTCTTCCCTTCCGCCTTATCCACCATCCACGGACTTCCTGTACTTAACGCATAACAGCAGAATCAAGCCATCGTTAGGTATACTTCATTTATATCTACAACACTCCTAACAAATATTTTTATTCGAAAAATAGTTAGAACAAAAAATTAGTCCCAACAAGGAACATGTCAATAGCCAATTACGAATTCCTTCTGATTGCGTACATAGATCACCCTAAAAATAGATCATGAATGACTAATAGGATGAAATATTCTGTCATTTTTGTCATGGAAACACTTAATTAGAAATTTGAAGCTAGCCAAGTCAAAGCGTTTTGTTCAACCAAAGTAGATTCGTAGCGTTCATACATTCTTTCTTTGATAAGAAAATTTCATTTTTATCGCTTAAGATCTCACTTTAAGGGTAATAATTTAATTTTTTTCTAAATACTGTTATAATACAACAAAAATAAAGATAAAAACATTGAGGCTGTAGGAGCACTACTGCCTGGCAGAAAATTATTTTTATTCAGCTTCAACATCCCGCCAACTTTCCCGGGTCTTCAATCTTCAGTAGCAACTTTAATGAGCCCATCCGGCCCGGAGGACCAAAGTTAGAATAGGTTCGGGTTCGTAAAGATTCTTTAATTGATAAATGGATTTTAAAACACAATTTAGGTGCCGTCGATGTTCTTGTACTCATCCGGCCATCTATAGAAAGGACACCCTGTATGACTTTTTGGAAATGTGGGATAAATATCTAATTTTGAATAAATTTAGCCCGTCTAATTGACTTTCATAAAAAAACACATATTTAAACGAATCCAGTGAAATAATTTACTATTTTAGACAAACAAAAACTTCTAGTATAAAACACATCGAGAAAAAGTTCAATACGAACTACTCAGGGGCGCGAAAATGGATAAATACTATCCACCAGTTTTCGTGTATAAAGTAAAAAGTTAAATCTCAGATAGGGAAACTCGCATGAAAAATAGAACAAATGGCAACAAAGAAAAAATAGAAGGGGACGACATTGTCAACTTTGCATGAAAATAAAAAACTCAGAGGGGAAAAATATGGGAAAACAATGGCGTAGAAAACAATTGCCTCGTTTCAACTGATTTTTATGCTTAATTAATTGTACTTAATTTTATATTCACAAGAAAAGTTTTCAAATATATTTCTTTGATGAAAATGACCCTTCATTTATTGTAAAAGCAGAGAAATAATACATTTAGACAATAATTATATTAAATAATTAACTTTCGATGTATTTAAGGCTAATTAACATTGGAAATTCTATCAGAAAATTTTGTGACTTACGCTTTAACTTTCCCTTCAAAGGAGACTGACTGTTTTTTCTTTTAAGTACACTGCTAAAAAATGAATTCACCACGGAAACCATCTTCGATTTTTCTCAAATTGAAATGTTTTATAACGGATGCATACTATTTTCTTACCTAAAAATGCAAATAGAGAAAATGAAAAAATAAAAAATGGTATGTAAAATTCAAAAATTAAAATAAAGTGAGAAATGAATGTGGCTTAATGGGCAAGCTTGGAGGTGGATCGTAAATAAGTCGAAGAGCCTCTTGTTCAGTCCATCATCCTTAACTGTTGTTTTCAGAGAGAGCTCCCAAGAGAAAAGACCAACTCGCTGAAATTAATTAAATTATTTTGGAAATTTCATTTTAAAAAATTGTCCGACTCTTTTACTATTCGTGCTAATTTTAACTTACATATGATTTTTTGGCGTTTGGACATTAGTTTCCAATGAGTAGTAACAAAGACCTTTTTGTTTAAGTGGGGCAAGTAAATTTCAAGAAAAATAACTATCAACCATAAATACAACAAATTGACTCAGAATATGGGCTGTGGTAAAAAGGATTTATAGAAACAACATTTTAATCTTCTGTCTGTAAAGCTTACATGACTAGAAGACCCGTCGGTTCAGAGTGAATATATTTACTAACGCGAATGCGTAGTGTAAGAGGGCTGATGTAGAAATATCGAGTATTCCACCACCCTGATTGAATTTTATGTAAATAGGAAAAATATTCATATTTAAGAATGAGTGAAAGTGTGAATGGGTTTGGGGTCCGGAACTGATTGCGTTGGGTGTTGAAATGGTTTAGCTGTTAACTGCACCCGGAGCTCAACCTCGGTGGCGAGACGGATAAGACCGAGGTCTGACCACGAACTGCTAACACCCGGGGTGGGTGATTCTCCAGGCATGCCGGTAATTTATTATAAATTACAAACGCTGTAAATTGTCAGTGGACTGCGAGAAGAAAAGTTCAACTATACACGCGTACATGCATGTGCAGATTTGAGCTTATTGTATAAAACAGTAATCAGTAATGGTTATATATTTTTCATCGTTGAACCAACCATGGCATATTAAACGTGGGTTTTGGCAAGGTTTCAGGACTTACGGGACGTAAAAGTCGATTTGAACGGTATGTTTTCTGATATCAAAGGGTTTAACACGGGGTTGACACGAACTTTTGAACCAGGTATAGCCCTAAATATCGCAGCGATATTGTAGTTGCCACGGTTAAATTTTATGCGAATTTGGTGCCTGCACCAAAATTGCTTAATTGACATGAGCTTTTGGACCACGTGTAGCACTAGATATCGCAACGATATTGTAGATGTCACGGGTTTTCCCAGCACGAAAATTGCTTAATTGACACGAGCTTTTGGACCAGGTGTAGCACTAGATATCCCAACGATATTGTAGATATCACAGTTTTCCCTGCACCAAAATTGCTTAATGGACTCGAGCTTTTGGACCAAGTGTAGCCCAAGATATCGCAACGATATTGTAGATGTCACGGGGTTTCCCAGCACCANTTGCTTAATTGACATGAGCTTTTGGACCAGGTGTCGCCCTAGATATCGCAATGATGTAGATGCCACGGATTTTCCCTGCACCAAAATTGCTTAATTGACACGAGCTTTTGGACCAGGTGTAGCACTAGATAACGAAGGATATTGTAGATGTCACGGGTATTCCCAGCACCAAAATTGCTTAATTAACATGAGCTTTTGGACCAGGTGTAGCACTAGATATCCCAACGATATTGTAGATATCACCGTTTTCACTGCACCAAAATTGCTTAATGGACTCGAGCTTTTGGACCAAGTGTAGCCCAAGATATCGCAACGATATTGTAGTTGTTAAGAGTTTTCCCTGCATCACAATTGCTTAATTGACACGAACTTTTGGTCCAGGTGTAGTCAACCAATTCCTGTCGCTTCGCGAATCCCTCTAGCACGGAGCTTGCTATCTTGTTTTGAAAATATTTCGACATCATCAGCAAAAGTGGGCTGTTTTTGTACAGTAAATTATATTCCACGTATATTTTTCGATGATGACATGACATCTTTTAAGCCTGCTTCGTCCGTCCTACCTTGGGAGAATTTTGGAAAGTAAGCCAATGTGCCATACACGATTGAATCCTTGGGCCACGTCAAAAAATGCCCCTTTGCACACTTTCTTTTCCTGAGAAGCATTTTTTAGTACATAACTGTACGCTGTAGCTATATATGGCATGATAGTGCGTACCAGAAGCCGAATTATTATATAGGCCGTAAGCTACCCGAATCTATATTGGAATAAGATGACTGTGTGCATTAATAAGTGGGACATTATTAATCGCTCATAATTTTGTAGAGATTAACGGACGAAGCTTTTTATGTGCTTGCTGTTCTATCGGTTAAAAATTTATTGCTGCCTCTATGTTTATTTTTTCCAATTTTAATATGTAATATTTTACTGCAATTTATAAAGGTTTTTTGTTAATTAAAAAGAGAGTTATTAATAGTGACAATTTGATTTAAAGATGATTTGATTTTAACAAAATATCGTGCAAAGTAAATTATATACCAACTCATTTTGATTAAAACCACTCTCAAGTGGGATATTATTTAACTTAATATCCTTCATTACTGGGTGGTTGAATATTTCATAGCAGAAACATTATTTCGGTTCATTAATTATTAAAATATGGGATAATTTGTTACCAAACGTTTAGGTAGTACATTTCGGCTCGTTTCATTTGAACTGTTTGATGTGCTTTCAAGTCTGGAGGTGCGGGAAAATTGTATTTGATTTAGAGAAATATCAAAGTGTCTTTCAAATTGGCATTATTTGTCTTCGTGTGGTGACAGAACTCCCCAGGCCCACCGTTGCAAAGCCGGTGGTGTTTTATGGGCACAGTTTAGCCGGCTCGTACAGGAGTAATTCATTACACTTTCCGACCGATTGGTCACAGTTGACGTCTATTGCGGCAAGTATATCACCAAAATCGTCAAAAGTAGATAGGAACGGCACAATCCTCTTAAATGATCCGAATCCTTTTTGTACTAATGATCCGTCAGACTAAGAGATGGGGAAAAACAGGTCTTTTTAAGGGATCTGATCAAAACCGCTCGCTAGGTGAAATGAAACAGCTCTTTTTCATGGCTCACGGCACGCGTTCGCTAAATTAATCTTACAAAGGGGCGACCGGCTTGTTGTGACACGGATTTGGACCGAACTGTTTTTGGTGATTTTACACTCCAAAGTATCGAACACCTATCCGCCACTTCTTGTGAATGTGGTTAGATATGGTTAAGCCTTGGTTTCACCAAAAAAATTTTAAGTTGGAATTTACCATTTTTGAATATTTCTTTGTCGCCGTTCTACTTGTTCTAATCAACTATGTGAATTATCATTTTGCAACATTTTTTATGTACATTGCAATAAAAATATTGTAAAAGCTGTAAAATTGATCAATAACCAAAAAATTTCTAAAAATCAAATATTTCAAGTAAACTAGGTAGTATTTTTTTTTAGTGAAACTAATATGAAATTTCATTTTAGTACGTCAGAGACCCCTGAATATAAACGGATTTGGACCCAACTTTTTTTTTGGTGATTCTACACTACAAAATTTCGGACATATATCCACCATTTCTTGTGAATAGGCCTTAGTTTCGCCAAAATAAATTTTTGAAAGTTGAAATATTCCGTTTTTTATTTTTTTACTTTTTATTTCGCCGTTCTACTTACTCAAATCAACTATGAGAATACATAATCAGTTTACAGCATTTGTTATGTACATTGCAATAAAAATATTGTAAAAGCTGTAAAATTGATCAATAACCAAAAAATTTCTAAAAATCCAATTTTTCAAGTAAACTAGGTAGCTTTTTTTTAGTGAAACTAATATGAAATTTAATTTTAGTACGTCAGAGACCCCTGAATATAAACGGATTTGGACCCAACTTTTTTTTGGTCATTCTACACTACAAAATTTCGGACATGTATCCACCAGTTCTTGTGAACAGGCCCTGGTTCGCCAAAATAAATTTTTGAAAGTTGAAGTATTCCGTTTTTTATTTTTTTACTTTTTATTTCGCCGTTCTACTTACTCAAATCAACTATGAGAATACATAATCAGTTTACAGCATTTTTTATGTACATTGCAATAAAAATATTGTAAAAGCTGTAAAATTTATAAGAAGAAAAATCAAATTTTTCATTTAAACTAGGTAGTATTTTTTTAGTGAAACTAATATGAAATTTCATTTTAGTACCTCAGGGACCCCTGAATATAAACTGATTTGGACCCAACTTTTTTTCAAGTACACTAGGTCATAAATTTTTTTAAAACCAATATAAAATTTCGTTTTACCACCTTTAGACACCCCTAAATATAAATTTTATTTAAATTTATCGATTTTTTTACCCCTAAAATTTTCCCGATTTTGAAGACGTTCTCGGAATATCTGATTGAAACGGCAATAATTCAAAAAAACGGCTAGAATGATTTTAACGTTAAAAAAACCATTTGAAAAAAGAAGAACGTAGCTTTTTAACGACTTGTGTACCATAAAAATATATAAAAGATTTCTGTAAGAAAATGCACAAAATAAGAAAATTATTTGTCAAAAATTAACCTAGGGTTTTTTTAATGGAAATAATAGTCTGACCTTAATGTTTGACACAGTTATAAAATGCACTTGGCAATTTCTTTAAAAAGAATTATCAACCATGAAAATCGGTCTCCTAAGTTTCGAGAAGAAAATTATGCTAGAGCTTGCACACAAGGAATGTCAGTCAAGCGATCGTCCAAATTATAAGTCAAAAAATTAATTTCCACCTATTTCCGAGAAAGTCGGTATTTAAAGGTTTTATAACGCTAGAATCACCAATCCAAATTTTGAATATTTTCTGACCTACTTTGCTTACAGAATGTTTGTTAAAATGTGCAAAAAAAAAGCAGTATTTTGTTTATTTATCTTTTTAAATCACACCAAATTTGTAATCGTAGAACATTTTAGTTTTATGTTAACCAACAATGAAATTATTACAAAAAAAAATAATCGTTTTTTAGTCTATAAATAACGATTTTTGCTCGTTTAATTAAATTTATTTTATTCTTGTTACAGCATGTAATGTTAGCTAATT